GTTCAATTTATCTTCCAGGAGAAGTGCTAAGGAACGTGCAGTGCTAAGAGAACTGCCCATTCAGAATACGAAATGTATTCTCCATTCAACACACTTGGGCAAAACTCAGAGGCTGCATTTCAAARAAGGAAGTGATTAAGCAAAGCATCTCAGCGCTTTTAATTACGCTGTCTCAAAGAGCCCGTTTAAATGTTGTAGTTTAGCAATGCTCAGAAATAAGAAACAAGTTTTCATATGCTCTTTTCATAAAGATCCAACTTCTGTAAATATTCAGTCCTAACAGACAATCACAATACTGCTTGAACACACTGAAGAAAAATGGAGTTTTAGTCATTATGCTTAAAAGAAATTTAAATTTCTGTCAGAAAAAGACAGGAACTTGAGGCTTGGCTTGAGGTAGCCTTTGTGTTTTGCCTTCCCTTGATTTCTCAAATAACATATATTGAGCTTCACCATTCAATCACAAAATTAGTCTCCTCCAATGACACCCTGACTACTGCAGTGACACTTCAACTGTATCTTTATAGTTTATTCCGTGATTATACTGGGAGGTCTATTCCTTTATCCTGAATCACCATTTGCTCAAATCAAGTTAGAGAATAAACTGCAATGCCTCTATGTACAAACTCGGAAGGTATYAATTTATACCACACTTTGGTTTAATACTTAAAGCATTTAAATTTCTGTAAGGGACAGAAAAAAACAACAATTTTTAAGCAAACATTTAGAAACGTTTAAGAAAATGTCATTCTAATATAAACATTATTATTAAATGTTATATTAGCTTTTTTATATTAGCTTTTAAAGCATCAAACATCTTTTCACTAACTTGCACACCGCAGTCCTAGGAGTGGCTTAGATGGGCTCCACGTACCAAAGACGTTCCATTTCACTGGGCAGCTAGAAAATATTAATTTTAACATACAGTTAGGCAAGTTTACCTGGCACTGCCCTTCTGGATAAAAGCCTTCAGTTTCAGGTCAGCAGTGCACACAAGAAATCAAATCCTCTTCAAGCACCCAAAGCATCTGCAGATACCAGGTTATTTGAAACCACATGGCTGGCATAGCTGCTTCTGCTCACTGCAGAACTAGATTCGGTGCCAGGCCTGGCAGAAAGGCCTCACAGCAAGCAGAACTCAAGGAGGACAGAAATCTCCAGGAAATAAGATTCCAATATTAGTATTTAATTTGTAAGCTGCCTTAGCAAGGCAATTGCAAACCCTGCTATTCCTCCTCCTCAAACTACCGAAGTATCCTGGTTTCCTAGGGGCACAAGAGAAGTTGGTAACGCACAGGGAAGTAGATGGCTTATTCAGAGGCACTACATCAAACACTGGCTGCAGCAGTGATCTGCAGAGTTCTTGTGTGCCCATTTCCAGGTATCAGGGCCACCAGTGACCATATTCAYACACAAACAGATGAATTTGAAGCTGCAGAGCTTTTGCAAACTCTGCTCTTAAGTCTCCATCCTACTACCAACCCATCATTGCAAGTCAAGATATGGGACCATGGAGTTCAGGTCAAGGAGAAAAAAATATAATAAAAATAGAAGGCTCAGAACTGGAAGTATGAATGTTCAACAGTCTCCTTAGAAGTTTTGGACATAACCTTGTGATAACAGCTAAGGYCTGAAGCAGCTTTGTCTGCTTATTCCTCTTTATCACTCTTCAGGAATACAGGAAGCCTGACATGCAGCTTCATAGTTGTGCTGACAGAGGGGAAAATCCGAGACTGGTAACAGGATCACGGTGACTCCAGAACATCGAAAGTCTGAGCTCCTCCTACAGAACAAATGCAACATCCAACTGAATGAACTCTACCTTCAGACACCCAATAGACTATATTTGTAGGAAAACCAAGTACACAAAAGGAAATTGTCAACCATTTGAAGAAAACAGGTTGGAATCCCAACTAGTTTTAGGTGAGATGTGAGGAATACAGCAGTGCCAAGGTCAAGAGGAAAACTGAGACAGAATGTGGCATCACTCACTGAGAATGATAGATACCCCAGCAGTGATGGCTTTGCATCCCAAAGTATCACAGCTTACAGAAGAAATAGAAAAGCCTTAGAAGATGCTCCCAAGGAACAATCTAAGAACTCAAATTACTGAAAACCCCAATGTTTCCAAGATAGATGTGTAGCTGGTTAATATCCATTTCCCATTTTATGAATTGAAAAGACTATGCCATTTGGATAGGATCGGTATCAGCTAAAAAACTGATCTAAGAGAGAGCCTTGTTGATCTTAAGAGATAAGTCTTATTAGTCAGAGGACTAGTAAAAGAAAAAAAAAAAAAAAAAAAAAGCCCACCCACCAGTGAAAAGGAATGACATTACAAAAATATTAACCCTGATGTGAATTTCACGTGACAAGGCCCTCTTCCATCTCTCCTTCTCCCCATTAATACCACGGCATAAAGCCTTTCACCTCACTGATTGAAATGTAGGGGTTTAAGGATAAAAGTGTTTTGCAGATAGCATAATTTATTAATGTATTTTTAATAAAATTACAAACTTTAGTAAAAACTAAAATCAATCCTAYTTGATATATATTTCTAAAGTTTTTGAAGATTGCACCCTGAACATAGGAAGGAACAAACCAAAAGGATATAAAAAYTAGCAAATAGGAGTGAAATCTTCCTTTTGTGCCAAGCCCTCAAGACCCCATAACTTCTGTATATTTGTCCAAATTACTCAGTTCATACTGCAAGATTTATTATTACCAAATCAAGAATGAGAAGGGTGAGCAAGATTATACAAACTAAAATTAGAACTTCTTACAGTACCAGACATTTCCTCTGTTATTTTCAGCTAATTAAAATTAATTTCTTTGCATAAAGTATGATACTATATAAGGTTAAGTTCTGACAAAAAATATTCACCAAACAAAGACCCGGTGAATGTTTAAAAATGTGTGTATATATATATACACACACACACACACACACACACACACACACAGAGCCAAGTTGCTACCTTAATTGATAGCTTCACAATTAGGAGTTTAAAAGCAAGTAAATAGCTCCACTGAAAACCTCCCAGACTCTGAACTTAAAGCTAGGTCAGGCTACCAAAGACAAGCAAGTCCTTGAGAAGCAAACTCCTCAATCCCACAATAAAAGCACCCGTGTTGCACAGGAACACATCCATCCTCAAGCAGTAGCTTATGGCCTATAAGTGTTCTGTTTAATGAGCACTGCAGTTTTATGATAAAACTTTGCTAAGCCACAACATTCATTAGGATAAGAATAACAATTAATGATTCCATCTTGTTTACACAAATGCCCTACATAAATGAGGGCATCCCAGGCAATCATGCCCATCTCCGGAACTGATCAAAAATCATTTCCGAGGATGAGAGTACAATACAAATAAGYTACCACCACCCTGCTTGCTGGAAACCTTGATGCTCAAACTCCTTTCCTTTAGTTTTCAATCCTAGAATAYCTACAAGCACAGAAATCTCAAGCAAAACAGGTTAAAGACTATGGTCTAATAATAATAAATAAAACATTTAAATTACACAAAGAATACCTATACTATGTACTAAGCAATACTATAAGAAAGAGTCATTCAAAAAACCCTCCACTTATGTCCAGAGATAACAGTACCTCTGGGAATGTCACATTCCCTAGAAGCTTATGTTTGGACACTAGAACATTTCCAGCAGGTGGGAGACCTCATCTCCACACCCATTTCAGTTAACCACAGAAGGTGGCGATTCTAGATGCAAACAGTTGGTCCATACAAGTTAGAGAACTGCTAACTATTAAGTCAATTTCTCAATTACTTTAAGATATCGCTATTGAAAGGTAAGTCCCAATTAAGTGATCCTACAGCCTCTTGTGGCCCCTTCCTCTTTTTGTCCTACTTGACATTTTTCTTGAGACAATCCTTTGTGCAATACGCAGTTTAACAGCTCTGATACTAATCTGCAGTTGTGCATCTGCAATTTTAATTCAAATATTCTGACTTCAAGAAAAAAAATTAARGCAACTGTCCTCAGGAAGGGAGATCTAAAGTTGCTAAGAATATTTGCAACCTAAGTTCTGTGCTACTGTTACTGAAATATCTAAACTACCACTCAGCAATCTTATACAGACGTTTGCATATTAACTCCACCAACCTCCATGAGTAACATATCATAGAATCATAGAATAATAGAATGTTTAAGGTTGGAAGGGACCTCAGAGGTCATYTAGTCCAGCCTCCCTGCACACGCAGGGTCACCTAGAGCACGTGGCGCAGGGCTGYGTCCAAGTGGGTTTTAAGGATCTCCAAAGAAGGAGACTCCACAGCCTCTCTGGGCARCCTGTTCCAGRGCTCTGTCACCCTCACTGTCAAGAAGTGTTTCCTYAAGTTCCTGTGGAACTTTYGGTGCCTCAGYTTGTGGCCGTTTCCTCTAGTCCTGTCGCTGSCCACCACTGAAAAGAGGCCGCCCCCTCCTCCTCACTGCCTCCCTTGAGGTATTTATACACACTGATCAGGTCCCCCCTCAGCCTYCTCTTCTCCAGGCTGAACAGGCCCAGCTCTCTCAGCCTTTGCTCATAGGGCAGATGTTCCAGGCCCCTGATCATCCTCGTAGCCCTGCGCTGGACTCTCTCCAGCAGCTCCACATCCCTCTTGTRCTGGGGAGCCCAGATATAAAAGTAATTTGAAATAATAAGTTTGTTCTAAGTTATAAAACAAACCTAAAGCTAATATTAAAACCTATGTTGAACTTCAGAAAGGGTGGGTTTTGTTTGTTTTCAGAGTTTAGTCATCATTTCAGTCAYCATACAATGTATTTTAAAATCTCTAGCTGAAAATTCTTCCCAAGTGGCTCTGCTTAGTTTCATACTGAACAGTTCTCCCCCGATAGTTCCCACTTCTTCCTTTGCAAGTTGAAGCCCATAGATTTACATCTCCAAGAAGTTACTGCASAAGCTTGTCGGTAAGTTATGCACAACATTGTTATTAAACTATGCAACAAAAGCTGTAAGGAGACTCCCCACTTACCGCCAAAGCTTTAGATAACTTTGCTCTATAGTTATTCAAGACAATTGCATCAATATCCTTAAGAGGCACATACGCAAAGCCATCCTTGATAAACACTCTTCTTGCTCTGAATAGCTCCACAGCATCTGCAAGTCCAACCTGAAATGGGAGAGAGACCCAAACTTTAAAAAGGTACCACTACGGATTAGAAAAAAAAAAAAAAAAAACACCACACATTAAGTGTTTACAATCCTAAAATTGAAGCAGAGGCCTTTCAAGTCACTTTGTGTGTTTTAACAAACCAAAACTTCTGAAAGCAAATGATGAAAGAGCCAATGATCACTTTGGTGGGAAAAATATTCGTGCTTACAGAAAGCCACACATTAGCAAAAAAGAATAGTGGATAATTTGTGCCCATGACTGTTAGCCTGATTACGTAACATTGTATTAATGGTTTGGTRTTTGAGAACAGACTTCTGCTGGCCCTGCTGGTTATCAGGTAGCTTGAAATATTCGATTCATACAGAATACATACAACAGTTCTTGGAAATGGATCCAAAACCCAACTGGCTCTACTCAGAGAAGAACTGGTGGATTAAGTTAGATGACTGTTCCCTCTGTCCTTGCTTTCTTGCAGCAAGAACTGAGCAGTAGCTCGGTCACAGCTAGCTTAGCTTCAGCAATTGATGTTTGATTCCATCCTAAACAGCCTGTCAGCCAGGTCATTTCTCTGGGAAGTGTTAAGAATTAGGACTTTTTTGGTAGCAAGGGATGGGTTGTAAAAGAAGGCAGAGAATTTAATGATAGCTTAAAGTCCCCTTTGTCYTTATGAGCCCCTCCTTTCACCCTCATATTGGCATGAAAAACAGGAAACTTAATTCCTATTTTCTGATCATCTGCTAATAAAGAAGCTAAAAAGCTGTAACTCATAGTTTTAAGAAAATGATCACAAATCTGCAACTTCCCACTTCTACTTACCTTATAGAACATTTGTTCTTTGACTTTAATCATGCTGAGGCCAGGGGTTGATGCACACAGATCATCTGCCCATTTGTTTTTCAGCTCTTCACTGATCTAGAATTGAAAGAGGTTGTGCTTTTGAGCCTATTTCCCTGAGTAGAGGGGTGGGAGTGGGGGATGAGGGGAGCGCATGAGCTAAAAGTTGAGCCAACATTATTCTTGCTGAAAATAAAAATACAGTCAGTGACTGATGTAGCGTACAGGTTGCAGGAAAAGGCAAGGCTTGATGCTTAAGCTAACTAGTTTTCATCAATAAAACTACTTTAATCAGTATTACAGTTCATTTAAAGATTCTTGTCCTTGAAATTTAACATAAAAATAATCAGATTCCAAGCTTCCCAAGCTGTCCAGGTCCTTCCATATTAGTACTTTGGCCATCTCTCTCTCTCTTTTTTTTTTTTTTTTTTTTTTTTGTGGTTGCAAAGCGACAGTCATTTTGATTTTCTTGCAACTCGCTACAAAGAATCACAGAATCACGGAACGGTTAAGGTTGGAAGTTTCAACACTTGGGTAACAGTCATCCTGGTGAAGCCTCCAGAGAAAGTAGCTAGTGGGCTACGACCAAGACAGTGGTTAAGTTTGTGGGCAGGATTACTGAAAATCCAAAAAGGGCAAAATAACTTAAGAGCTTTGTTACTTATTTCCTACAGCCTCGGGTACCATACAAGATCAGTAAATGAACCCTCTCCCTGAGCCCCATTACCTTCCATCGTCCTCCAAACACTCTGCCTGCTGCCTGTTCACTGAATTTTGTGTTTTCAGCTAACGGATAGAGAAGGAAAGGAGGCAAGTACTGCCTTAGCTATTGCTGATAAAGATTCCAGAATATRTAGAATAAAGCTTGTTTTCCCAAAGACAGGAACATTAAAGGAAAAAAAACATAAGTAATAAAGATTTCTCCATTTTCACATAGAAAGATGTCAAAGTTTAGCTTGACTGAAGGCAGAACTGAATATAAATCTCAGGTTTGATCAGCGGGAAAGTTCATAGGATTTCTTACATGATAAGACAATCAATATTCCAAAGTCAGACTCAAGTTTCCAGTTGCAGAATAGCAAGTACCTTGGTAGATGGGGCACCTTGAAACATGTGCCCCATTTTTAACCAGCCCATTCAACCAGAAAAGCTTTTTTTTTTTTTAAAACAACACTACAATTTGCACATTTAATGATTTCMTATCTAAAGTGGCACCCGCATGAATACATTCCTGTAATCATTAATTAGACAGAATTAAGTACAGCTTTGAAATCTTGATTAGAATCCTAAAAGATAAACAGGCTGCTTAACTTTTGACAGAACTTGAAAATGCCTGTCAGACAAAAATACTCTCCTGCTCAAAAGATAAAGGAGATGAGCAGAGTTTCAGGAAGGGAGCAAGAAAGCAAGAGGATAGCAAGTGCTTCCCTGCTCCTTGCAGCTGCATAGTCCTGACCCCCTTTACTGCTCATCCAACTTGCCCTGAACYGATTCAAATCGTTCACTCCAGGAAAACAATTCACAAGTTTTGGGTTTTTTTCTCCTTTGGTTACTTATTGCCAGCTTAAAGTGAATCTGCTTATTCCCACCAAACCAGAGCACAARAAAAATGTGGACTATAAAGGCATGGAAAAGGATCTTCCCCTTTCAGTGCCAAAGGGCCACATGTTACAGCTTGGAACAACCTAACACTTCACCCTAAGCCTTCCTGAAACATGAGGAAAAACAAACAAGATTGGAGAGGGAGGGGAAAAATTGAAGGGATAAAAGAAGGGAGGTAGGATTGCGAATGTTTTATATGGGGCAAGTTGCATAATGTCTACGTTTCTCGCTTTCTATATGCAATTTATTCATTGCTTTTGAACCAAGAATCATTCTGGAGCCATAAAGAAACAAATTTAGATTGAAATATGAATAAYTAAAAGATTGGTTAAACAAATACTGGCAATGAGGTAGTCCAAAGACTTCAAAATTTAATATCCCTCCTTTGTTTTAATGAAGTGATCACAATGCATTTGTACATTATACCATATATGCCTACGTACTTMATTTTGCTGTTCCTAAATCCCACAGTAATAAACAAGAACTCCAAGCTCAAACTATTACTCCTCCAATGTTCTGCCTCTCTGGTTAGCAACATATCACTGGTGTTCCTAAGAAATTCAATTTATTATACATAACTTTGTCACCACGCAGATGGCATTTAAACTGCATAATACCTTTCTCAAAAACATACGGTTCCGCAATACTGTGCTACAGGCTATTTAAGTATCAAGCAGTCAAAACGATCATTTCCTAACTAACAGGCACCCTGCAAGGCAGCACAGCCCAAGGCAATGGAGAACATCAGCTGTGTTCACCTAAAGCCACTGGCTTGATACAAATTATGCAAAAAGAATCACTGAATTACCTATAGAAAAAGAGGGTATTTATCTAAACTATGTTTCCTGCAAAATCCAAAACTGACAAGTTAGGCCTGAGRAAATAGAAGAATCAGATCTATTCTGTATCTATTGCCATTGCCTTCACCATTCACCATGAGACAACCAGCAGTGAAACATACATAACCCAGACCAACACCGAGTGCTACAGCACCCATGTGGTGTGGATTCCCTTCCTGCCTCTTACCATAAGCTSAAGAAAATCTAATGCAACAGATCCCTATTCTTCACCAGGTCGCTGCACTCTCACAGTTTCAGACTTCAGCCATCCATAGTTGCAGCAGAACATCTGCCCTCAGGATTCAAAATGTATTCTGAACCTTGTCTAGTTTTCTACTAGATCAGGTAGAAGAATGTTTTTGACATCTCATTTTTTACTGTATCCTCTTCACCCCAAAAATTACCTTACTTCAAAGCAGGTAACTTCTTCAAAACAGGACAAACGCACCTCAAAGCAGAAAGCGTGTGTGCATTACACCAGCACAGAAGATTTCAACCTCCAATAAGACCTTTAGAACCCCCTAATGCTCAAATGAGAAACGTCACAAAGCTATTTAATAAAAAAAAAAATATATCACAATACTCTCTTGCACTGGGACACAAGTAACATACTGTACAGCTTGCGTTTTAGTTCTCCTCTAGTTGGGTTCACAAGTTGATTTTAAGCAGTAAAAGTGGTCTTAAAAGGGTCCACTTAGGATTTCTGCAGATAATGAGCAGCTGTTACTAATCAGAGATGATTACCAAATTAAAACTTTTAATTAGCATTTTGCATAATCTACAAACTGCTGTTCATTATGTTTATGAAGGTGGAAAGAGACAGTCCCAGTAGTTACATTTTTTCAATCACATTTATTATATTTAACTTCACTTCTATGAAGCGTCACCATCACAGTATGTACAAACACCTGCATCTGGAATGTCTCCAGGAAAATGCTAGTTGCCTCCATAACTGATAACAGAGTTGTGCTCATATTTCACTGTTAATTGTTATGATGGGAGAGGTCTGCTCTGAATCTTGGCTCTCCTCTTAATCCATCACTAATCAATCCAGCAAGAGGTAGCTGTAAGGTAAGCCCTTACACTTTTTCCTTTCTATGGGACAAAAACCAAATTTAAAAAAAGAAATAGTCAATTTTTCCTTCGACAGAGTAGCTATTTGGTTTCACTTAAATCTATCTTCTGAAACTCAAAAGTTTAAACGGAAAATCGTTGCTTCCTTTGAAATGAGGATGTCAGGCTTTTTAAAGCACGCAGCCGTTTCGTTGTCATCTTTAATAAAATCTAGACTTTAAAATAATTCTTACTCTCATCTTTTTACATAGTTTTGTTTCTCTTATGATTAAGTATAGATCTAAGCAGCAGAATAAGTATTTTTAGCTGACACTGGCAGTAAGGCACTATTGCCCATAGAGAAAAGCCTCAATTCTGACCTTGGCTGTCATCACCAAGACAAGCACAGCTGATTTTCAAGCAAAGGACCAAACTGAAATCTCAGCTAGCAACAAAATAAGCTAAAATAACTATTTTCCTTCCSAGACATAAACTGCAGCCTACTTGGACATATGTCAAACTCAAACAGTTTCTAAGTTTTCATTAAAAAAAAAAATGAAAGCTCTAGATAGTTCCTAGTTCTAAGCATTCTTCCCATTCTGTGTGGGAAAGGAAGCAATCTTACTTTATGTCTCTAAAGCATTTTCAGAAAAAAATTTTGATTCATACACTTGCCACCAAGATGGATAATTGTAGTCATGACCTTTTGCTAGACAGATGCAATATCGAATTTTTTCTTTCACATTTATCCCTACTTACTAAGGACACAAACTAGTCACATTCTCATTAATCCAAATCTAGTTCTAGGATCTTCTGCACCTTCTAAAAAGTCAGCTATAAAACATGAAAATGTTCAAGCAGCTAAACTACAAATACTTCTACCACTGCCCCTCTGAGACAAAAGCTTTCGAAAAAAGTGTAACAGCAATATCAGAAAGTCTCTCATAGGAGTGCTCTGATCATAAAAATGAAAATTAAAGAAGTTTAATTTCTACTGCTTAAATCTCAAAAAACATACTTTAACTGCAACTTCAAAGCCGAGGTTCTGTGGAAGCAACGAACTCCACTAATGTATTTTGCTGATTCCTCTTATTTTGCAGTTCTCTCTCTTTGGCAGACGCACTGTGGAGCAGTAGCTCCACCAACTGACAATACTGACCCGCTATTCCTTCCTCATTACTACGATACAAATACTTCAAATAACACGCTGCATAACGCCCTTAAAAATGAATTTGGCAACAACTGTCTGCCAGTCAAAGGAAGGCATCTAGCCTGCAAATTAAAAAGTTTTGCCCTTTTTTTTTTTTTTTGAAATTTGAAGAGGCCTTCTAGAGCGAAGTAATTTAAACAGAAGCTTTTGTACTCTGGTGAGACATAGCATCAGCACAGGAAAAAATATTGTACACTTCCAAATTTATTTCTTCTGGTTACGCTATAAAGTTAATGCAGCACAGACCTTTGGGGGGATGTAAATTCTATTATACATGGTGCTTGCACACCAGACAAGAATGTGATCGTCACGTTTCCTGTCTTTTTGAAGGAGCTAGCAGTCTGAAGATAAGAYGAAAGAAGGGTTTCAGGACAGCAGAACAACTGAGGTGATGACCACTGTCACTGAAACCTAAATTTAGGATAGCACTTTACACTCTACRCCATATTCCAGTGGATTAAGTTCCTGGAAAGACACAGTAACAAATGAAAGCAATAGCACTCAGATGAAATAGTATTATGGATGTGTTCATTTCTAAAACCACCAAAGGTCAGATATTTTATGTTTTTCCTTAATTAAGATACATTAAAAGCTTTCCAATAACTGGCTGCCTTAGTTGCTCTAATAACTGTGATTATGTCAAAAAAGCTACGATAACTTCAAATTGATACAACATGAATTAGCTCACACCGTGAGGGTCCAAATGCACTACTGTAATAACAAAGCATATAGATATGTTATGGCCAACTTGCTCGACAGCTTCAAATAGGTTATCCAGTACAATTTGGCTGAAAGACGGTAATAGTAACGTGGTAGAGAAGAACAGAAGTSCAGCTCTCCACAAAAAGAGAGCTTCTTAGCTAAAACCCAAGTGCCATAAGTTACATAGCTCTTTCATATACCATCCTYGAGATCACTACAGCAATTGATGGAGATGTTTTACTTAAAATGAATATTCACTGCATTTCCCTTTAAATATCTTTAAAAGTCTGCATTAGGGGCTTTAATTGCCAGAATCTGCCAGATATCATAACTGTAAATACTCATTTTTTGCAAGATTTTAGTGCTTTAATCTCCTAAATTAATTTAAGTCTCCACTGCACACCTGTGTTGGCAGGGGCCCTGTCACCTTAAATGTCAGCATTTACTTCACTTGAGTGCTGCTTAAGGGCTTCCTGTTCTCCCCATGTGCCTGATTTAACAAGGTCATTTTTTTTTTCCAAATGCGCCTTGAGAGCTGAAGATTAAAAGCCACGGGTAAAACATTTCAGTATTTTTTTCTAGATTATGATAGCACTGCCAAAAAAAAAATACAGTTAGCATAGGCTAAATAGACTAAAACCCAATTACCTGTATCCATGATTCTCCTAATATTGTGAGAAGAATTCAACGTATCAGCAAAAAGCACTTTAGAAGTATAAATTAGAACTAAGCAAGCTCTGAAAGCAGAGAACACATCAGTATTTCTTGTCCTCTGAAGATGGAGGGACAATTACACTGCCTAATCCTCTTCAACAATGTTGAACACTCCAAACTGAAGCGTGCAGAAAGGCAATGAAATGCTGTATTCCCCTCAGCAAGCCCAGTGCTCTAAGCTTAACAGTGAGGTTCTTGATGGCAGAATTTTAACAAAAACCCTATCAACTAGAGAAATCCTCATCAGTAATATCTCACTACTGTCACTACAGTTGTCAACCAGATAACACCACTGTAAATACATCACATTTTAAACTAGGCAATGGGCTGGAGTATGAAGCATTATGGCTTTTAAATTTTAAAATAAGATTATTAAAATTGACTTAAAATTGACTTCGTGAGAATTCTAGCAAGCAGACATGCACTGCATAGCAGAACACAAGATGTAACATACTTACAGCTTCAAAATGTAAGTTCACATGATCCAAGAATTTCTGCCTTAGATCAGCATTCAGTTGATTGAAACGGTATCGAAACAGGTCCATTTCTTGCTGGAGAAACCAGCGTCTAAGTTCCTCACTACATAGAAATAAAAATATATAGGTTATGCATTCTTCCTACCATAGACTGGATAGCAACCCAAGAGAACACAGAATTAAATATATTTCTGATTGTGGCAGAGGACTGATTACCATGGAAGAGAAGGCAGAAAACCCTCAGGGGAATGAATAAAGACTGAATCAGAAGAAGTTTTTGAAGAGGTAGCACAGAAGGAAGCATGACTGGGTATTTTGGAAGATCAGATGTATTCAATCCAAATACTGGAAATGTTCTGTAAAATTTAAGACTTGTTATTCTGTCATGTATTYTCCATCATTTATTACTTGTGTTAGTTAAGAATAACCAACTGCAGATACTCTCCCTCACTGCTAGAGCAAATCTTCAATGTGACACTATTTTTTCTTACTGCAATCAACTTCATATTGTATTTTCTTTGTCAGATTGACTGTGACTACTACTGCTTTTTACTGTCACACTTTCAGGGAGTATCCGTAGGCGTGAAGGAGCATGCACACACACACACACACAGAGACACTATGACAAGGCAAGAATTAACGCGCAAGGAGGCTAGCAGAAATTTTATGGGGATGAACACGGCTGAGCAAGACAAGCAAAACACAGCCATGACCTGGCAGACCAGGTTTAGCAGCTGCAGGCGAGTGGAAGTACACAGAGAACAGGGGTCAGGAGGCAGCACTGAAGAGGCAAGAACAAGACAAGAAACAGGAACAGAGAAGTCCATCTCCAGGTACCCACTGTCTAACTTTGGGCACGCTGGAGTGCCAAATTCTGAATCACCGGTACGTTACTCCAAGCTACCAAAAATAGATAGCAAAATGCAAGTCACCAAACTAACACCACACAAACTAGCACAGAACATAGTAGACACCGCAACTTGCTCTAAGGGAGCATTCTTTTGAGCAGTCCTCCAAAGGCTCTGCTGAGAGGTACAGCCCAGCAGCTTGCAGAGCAGAAGTTGTGCAGGACTATTTTCCTTTATACTACTGAGCTCTCCTCCCCAGAGGCAATTCATCGCAACAGGACTCTGGGCACAGTGAGTTAGTGGACTGCAAAAGCTCTCTTGAAATACAGTTTGGAAAAGAAAGTAATTAATATTCAAATTCCCATTCCAGGTGGAAAGGCTCTTTCTAGATCTTTCCTAAAACATAGTTGACAGTTTCAGTGACCAGGATGTGTACAAGTCAGAATGCAAGTAAATGCACTGACAACTTGTCTTCTCTAGCTCCTCTGTGATTATTTTGCACAGTAACAGAATCCCACAATCAAAGCACAAACAACAGCAATAATCTGAGACAATTTTACTCTTGTCCTAATGCAATAGTTTTACACTGTATTTCTTTCCCTAGGGGAAGGTCAAGAATGTGTAGCTACTGTGAGCCTAGTCATTCCGTYCTCCAAAAGAGGAAAACAATTCCCTATAATTCCCATCAATTCCCATCATCAACTAAAGTTTAATACTTGCATGTTTTGTTAATTTATCCCCAATATCTGCTCTGTAACCACAACTGCCTATGGATTCTTCACACAGTTCCAATGAGCTGGTGTACCTGAGCAATACAGCTGTACCTGCCCAGCACATATCTCAATTCATACACCGTCATTAGAATATGAAACATATTCATGTCATGGGATTTTTTACACCTTTCCCAGATCTGATTCATTTCTCATACTTGCTAACAAAGAAGTACATTCTCCTTCCTCATATATAAGCAATATTAGATTAAAACCAAAAGCTCAGAAGTGCTGCCAATGCTACTCCACAGCTAACCAAGCTGCTGCTGAAGACCAAACAGCTGCAGGTAGTCCAGACATGGAAGCTAAGGGCAACAGAGCAAATAGATGAGAAATGCTTCCTAGCTTTTTCCCCCACCACCACTTCAAGTTACATATGCAGAACCCTCAACAGTTTAAATGTGATTAGTAGCTTTCCAAACAGAAAATGATTGTAAACAGACTCTTTCACATTAGGGAATGGCACTCAAAATAAATAAATAAATAAATCAACAACCTACCCATAAATACCCCCAAGAAAGTCTATGAAAACCGAAAGTATTTGTTGTTGAGCACCAGAATGAAAGTACTTTGCAATATTAAAATGCGCCTAAATTTAGGGTCTCAAACCACTCCAAAATTAAACATAACAATTCAGTTACCAGCTTGTAGAAGCCTGGGCATGAAACAGAATTCTATCTCTAATTCTGCCAAGGAACCAATGATAGAGGAGACCTTATGAGCTTAGGATTAAAATACAAGAAAAGGTAGCAAGGGAAACCCGGCTGAAGAGCACACAAAATCCACGGACCAAACCATGAATAAGGACTGATGCAGAKAGTCAAAGTCGATACAAACTTGTACCCCTGGGTGGCGCTGCTGGCCTACTAGAAATTTAATGTACGACTGCTCTGAAAACAGAACTGAATTCAAGCTCGTTTGCAGTCAGRCCTATTGAAGCACACGTTTCAGAGACTCCTACCTCAGCGGCTTTCATCGGTTGATAGTTTATGAAAAGTTCATTCTTTTGATCTAATACGATTAAGACTTAATTTTGACCCCGGGTATTATTTTTTACCACAGATTAATCTAAGTTTCAAGGTCAGAAAGGCCTCTACTTGAGCCTGCCTCTCTGTCAACCACATGGCTTCATAATGTTCACCATGTCTACAATAACATGTCTACGCTTAAAGTTACCAAGAGAACTAYAGCATAACTTAGAAAGTACTTACGACTGACAGTAAGCAAGACGTAGTATGAAGTGAGAAATATGGTCTTTCCTTCTTGCGTCATGATCGCCCTCAGCCAAAGCCTACAGAAGATCACAGGATGGTGGAGATGAAAAAGACCTCTAGAGATCATCTAGTCCAACCCCCTCCTGGCTCAAGGTATTACTGATTTCAGCAAAAGACTGAATAGAATATATGATACTAATAGTAATAATAATTTCTATGACTATAGAACACAAGACCATTAGAAAGAGAGTTGGAAATTAGAAAATTTGCATCTTAGATACAAATTACATACCTGATTAATGTTAAAAAAAAAAGTCCTAGTTGTATTTTATTAACAGGACAGAGAGAGTAAAATGGAAAAAAAAAATGTTTTACTTCTTAATAAAGCTTTTTTACTTACTTTGTAGGGAAACTTGAGCTTGCGGAGCTCCTGTTCCAGCTTGGTTTTGTACGCATCACCATTTCTCACATGGCTCACCCCGAGATTCTCAACTACCTTAAGCACTGCGAGGGGGAGGGAAAACGCTCGCGTAAGAGGCAGCAGCTTGAAAAGAAACCCGGCTGCTTTGCTTTGCTTCGCAACGGGACTCGCGACGGGGAAGGGGCCGCTACTCACGCCTCAGGCGCTCCACGGCCAAGCTCTCGAACTCGGCGAGCGAGATGTTCTCCGTGGGGGGCTCCAGGTAGAACTGCAGGCTGTGCGGGTAGAGCTCCCGCCGCTCCCCCGCCTGCGCCCGCCGGCTGAACTCCATCCCCCTGCCTCCCACCCCGGCCCCGCGGGGAGGCGGCGGTTACGCCCGTTAACGGCCACGCGCGAAACACCCACGACAGGCCCGTTACCGTTGCCCGCTACCGCCGCGCGCCGCCACTTCCCGCGCACGGCCGGCCCCGCCCCCGGCACCCCGCCCCCTCGGGCCCCGTCCCGCGCGCTGATTGGGCGAGGCGCGTGCCCGTAGCTAATATGGCGGCTCCGCCACGCTAGTGCTGGCGGCCGCTCTAGCTCCCAGGGGAGCKCTATGGTGCCCGTGGCGGGAAGGCGGAGGAGGGGGCGGGGCTCCCGTCAGGGCGGCGCTCCCCACCCTCTTCCCCAACGGATTTAACTGACGCTGGGTTTCACCGGCGTGAACGGGACTGCTTTCCCTGAAGAGGCTGTTKATTTGGCAGAGGGCTGCCGCAGTGGTTTCCATTGCCCATCTCCTRGCTCTAGAGATGGGACAGGCCACAGAACCATTAATTCCATGTGTCCGAGGGACCTCGCTATGGCTGACAGCRGAAGGCTCTGCCCTCCGGGGCCTCTGCGTCATTCCTGCTTGGGAGCATGCAGAGAAGGGACTGTGACTCTCAGCCTCCCATTTTACCACAAAACTGGACGTGGCACACTTGGTGAATTTTTCCACACTTGCTAATGCACAACTGTAGCACTTGCCTGATGGTTTTACAGTGGAATTGCATGGGAAATTCCATTGCCATGTGAGGAGGAACTTCTTTCCTGTGAGGGTGACAGAGCCCTGGAACAGGCTGCCCAGGGAGGTTGTGGAGTCTCCTTCTCTGGAGGTCTTCAAAACCCGCCTGGATGCCGCCCTGTGCCCCGTACTGTAGGTCTCCCTGCTTGAGCACGAGGGTTGGACTAGATGACCTATATAGGTCCCTTCCAACCTCAACCATTCTGTAAATTTATTTCCTCTGGCATATATAATTGCCCTGTTTTCCCTAAGGCTTCATTACTGGATTTTTGTCGTTTACCAAAATCCCCTTCAAGACTGATACTGCTGCTGGTTTCAAGCAAACATCTACCACCACTGATCCTCCTTTGCATTAGTGATCACAGTATTATCTGAGTCCTATGTAACTTCAGTACCCCTTCAAAAAGAGCATCATGACATCACCAAGTTTTACRACACTGTTAAACTGATCAGAAAGTGAACTTTTAGCATAATATTCATATACCAAGGAACCTCCCTCTAATCCCACAAACTCTGCACAGTTACATGGTTGGGTGATCTCATCCCTTTTCCGAGATGCCACAGAGTTGGTTTGCTGCATGTTGAGCCTGCACCCAGGCTGGACAGAAGGGGGAGAAGTTTGACAAGGACGAGGAGCAAAGTCAGCTTACACAAAGTCATCAGGGCCTTTAATCTTAATTTAAATAATGTTTTACTTTACTAGCACTTGAGTGGTACCACAGTTTTGGAAATCCGAGGCTACAGCTTGCTGTCCATCACCTTTTCTTTTCTTTTGAGCCACGTCCTGCTGATCCTTTAGCAGGTCAGCAGCTACACCTCTACCTGGCATACTCTTTTCTCCTTGTTTCAATGCTCTGTTTTTTCCTCTAATGCTGAGTACTAATCCTCAGATTGACTGAAATTAGGCAAAACCCAATCCTATTTTTTTTCATTCATTTCAGTTACCCATTGACACTGACCTTGCTGCATATATTTACCTCAGCATAAATAAAGAAGGAAAAATAACACTTAATGCCAGACTTACATTTTACAATGCAAAACCTTGGTAGGGGGTTGTCAACCTTTCACGCACAACTCTTTTTATTAGGGAAACAGATGAAGAAGTGAAAGGGAGCATATTGGAGGAAACTTGCCAATCCAAAAATCAACAATTTTATAACCGAAACTTTCTCATGGACCTAGTTATTGTCATTTCTAAGTGGCAATATTTCTCACATTAACATTTTCATTACTTTGTTCCAATTACTTGCAACAAGTAATTCACTTGTAATAACTTAGAATGACTTCCACATGCTCATTACAAGTAGGGTCTGTTTGCAGAAGTATTTCTAAACAAAATCATTGACGTTTCAGCAGTGTGCATCCCAAGTGTTTTAGGACAACATCCATATGGCCAGCTGCCAATCTGTCCTCATTGGCTCATCCAAACACACAGTCCAATCCAGCACAGCCCAAACTCCTTCTATTCTGCTGCCTAATTAACAAAAAATAACCCAGATTCCTTATGTTGTGTCAACTCTATATCATTACACATATTCTACTCCCATCTTTGTTACACTAACTAGCAAAGTGCTCAGCAATGGAGCCCTCTCCTTTTCTGCTTTCACAGCTTCAGCTTCAAGTAGCAAGTAGAATCATAGAATGCTTAAGGTTGGAAGGGACCTCAAAGGTCATCTAGTCCAACCCCCCTGCWCACGCAGGGTCACCTAGAGCACGTGGCRCAGGGCTGYGTCCAAGYGGGTTTTAAGGATCTCCAAAGAAGGAGACTCCACAGCCTCTCTGGGCAGCCTGTTCCAGGGCTCTGTCACCCTCACTGTCAAGAAGTGTTTCCTTAAGTTCCTGTGGAACTTTCGGTGCCTCAGCTTGTGGCCGTTTCCTCTAGTCCTGTCGCTGCCCACCACTGAAAAGAGGCCGCCCCCTCCTCCTCACTGCCTCCCTCGAGGTATTTATACACRCTGATCAGGTCCCCCCTCAGCCTCCTCTTCTCCAGGCTGAACAGGCCCAGCTCTCTCAGCCTTTGCTCATAGGGCAGATGTTCCAGGCCCCTGATCATCCTCGTAGCCCTGCACTGGACTCTCTCCAGCAGCTCCACATCCCTCTTGTACTGGGGAACCCAGCACTGCACAGATCTATGTTGTATATCGGTGTCCCGCCGATGTGTCCGCTGTCTTTGGTGCTGCCCTGTTCATCTCGCACGTCCCTAACCTTTGGATCCCTCTGAAGGAGCAGGGATGAGCACTTGGGCAAAACGCCCCTTCCCTGGTTTTGTCTACTTTTCGGTTCTTACTGTTAGTTTACCCACAACCTTCTTTACTTCTTATGTCATCAGCTTAACTGAATTTTCATATAATTTATGCTTTGCACATATTGTTTTTATAATTTACTTTCTGGATGCTTTTGCTTTTTGGACGTCAAAGTAATTTATTCTTGAAAGTACCTTAAAACTCTTATTTATTTAGTCTTCACATTTTTCCATCCCTTAACCTACAGACCAATTGGGTTTTCCCAGAAGCCTGTTTACACATTTTTTGCAGTCTACTTTTGCTACTGCTCGCTCGCCTTCTCTTTGTATTTTTGTTTGCRGCAATGCCTCCTCTGCTCTGTGCTTGCTACTCCTTCATTAAATATTTTCCATTGGGTTTATACGGAGCTTTTTTTTCTGACTGTGCTGCACGAGTATCTCTGTATTTACCTTAAATAGCGAGGTAAATGTTTTGAGTTGGCCTTTAAACTGCTTCAGGCTCCAAAGTGAGGGAAGGATGAATCACGCGCCGCGGAGCAGCGGAGGCAGCTATTTTTGTCGGATGCCTCCTTGGCCTCGCAGCCGTGATTTGTCTCAGCAGGGAGTAGCGATGGTTTCTAACTCCCTGCCTCCATTTGTGCAGTGTTTTCAAACCCTGGATTTACTCACAAAGTTCTCTGTCCAAAACTCTGGAAGAGGGGGAGGAAATCCAGGTACTTCTTCCAAATCTTCTTTGATTTATCCTGGCAGATAGATCCGTCATCTGGCTGATTACCCGGGCCTCTCACTGCATGCATCCTTTTCAGTGTATTTAGGCTGCTGTGCTGAACATCTCCACTAACTCCTTGTGCTCTTATATTTCCAATCCCGCAGCATCGTCTTTCAGGCTACGTATCGGGAGAGATCTGCCCTGTCCCTATCCGCGGCCTCTCCAAAAGGAGGAGGCCACCCCTGTGTTTTGTGACAAGACAGTTCTTACAAACTGGAAAAATTAAAGCCTGAAATGAATAAATAAATAAATAAAAGATAKAGAGAGAGATTCAAATTTCCACCATGGAAAGAAAAGCAGGACTTGGCCTCTTTTCCATGTGGAGCAGCAGCAACCACACAGTTAACATAAACATCCTGGCCAGCCCATCAGCAGAAATATGAGCTCCAGGATCCAGCTCCTCCTCTCCCTGAGAGCATCYGAACAACCCAACGGGGGAATATTTGGGCTCTTGAGCATCAGGACTAAGAAAGAATCAATTTAAAGGCTTCATTTRGTCGGCTACGTGTGGATTTCCTTCTCCCTTTTCCTAGGCTAAATTGTGAGTTTCTGAAGCAGTTTGCCCTGTACGTCTGTACTGGAAGTCTCTAGATGATGCTCAGCATGAATATATGATAACGATGGTCAGAGAGCCTAGAAAATATTAAGTGTCAGTGTCACTGCGGTGCTAGGAAGCTTTGGAGCAACAGATATGTAAAGAAGATGCTTTAAGATACTGATATTTTCTCTTTTTGGAAAAGATTCTCTTTAAATTAATTGCAAGAAGAAAATTTATTTGCATATAACAGTATTTTCTGCAGTCCTTTCAGTCTCTTGAGATTAGTTAAATTTTTACTTGAATGTGAGTAAAGAATAGGATCCTTTCTGATTAAGTAATCTGTAGGCAACCAGAAGACTTCTTTAACCCAAGAGCTATCTTTATCCAAAATAAAATATATATCCAGTACAGGCTAATCATATCCATGTGTCTAGGATTTTTAGCTTTTTTCCTTTTTTTTTTTTTTTTTTTTTTGATTCATAAAGAGTCAATTGTCAGGGTATAGAAAAATGCACAGGAGTGGATAAGGATCTATTTTTATAGGGAGAATCTTTTTTTTTCCCCAAAATTCCCAAACACAGTTGTGCCTCCATTAAAAGAAACCAACTGCAGTTTAAGGATTTTTTTTCAGACATTTCAATGTTTATCTAAGGATATTGAATAATACAGATTTGGCCAGGCAGATTTCCCGTTTTAAGCCCATGACTTGATTGTGAAAAAATGTCCCGCTCAGTCAGTGC